CTGTGTGTGTAGCGGATGGGTAGCGCGCGTGTGGTTTGCTAATAAGGTAAGGTGGTGTTGCCGGTGGACGTGATAGCGTTGGTGGTGGTGGTGGTGGTGGTGGTGGTGTAGCACGGGACGATGAGCAACCCTTGATAGCCGTCGGAGGAGGGCCGAGAAAGACGAAGACGAGGCGAGAAAAAAGGTCAGGCCAGACTAAGCTAATCCGTAACCTTGCCTATTCACCTCATGGCGGGCCAGGGAGAGATAGAGACGGGACGAAACGAGACGAAAAGAGAAGACGAGGGAAGCGCGTTCGTCGGCGAGCGAGTATCCGTCACGTCGTACGTAAGGCGATGCGGCGCCGCATGGCATGAGACCAAAGGCAAAATAGAGGGCCAAGCGAGGGGTGAAAGGCTAGGTAGGGGCGGGTGGGATGGAACTCCGGGGAACAATGCAAGCAATGCAAGCAAGCAAGGCTCAAAGCTCGAGATGCTTGGCTTCGGTTGTGATGTGGATGAAGGCTTTACTTGACGCAGCTATGCGAGAGGGGGATGGGAAGGGGGGAAAGGACCAAGGAAAGAATATAGATATAATAGCGAGCATTCCCAAATGGAAAAAGTTGTAAACTCACCCATTGTTACGACGGATCGAGTCCCATGATCCGGGGTCTTACGGCATTCGAAGGTTTGTGCACCGTCGCTGGTGGCCGCCACAAAGTATCGAAGATGGACGGAATCGGGTGGTGGTGAGCTGGTGGGTGGCGTGGATGATGAAGGATGACGGATGAAGAATATCAAATAAACGTGGCAGCGGAAGAAGACAAAAAGGATCGGATCAGATTGAAATCGGACCAGAATGGCAGAATAGGACAGACGGCAATTGGATTAGGATTGGGGGTTACTCCGTATACTAGGAAGGTCGGGTATACGGAGTATTTTGATGATGATGGTGCTGGCAAGTTCAAACCGGTGGGTAATGAATGATGAAAGAGCACGTTCATCATGATGATTGGGGAAGGCAGGGCTCTTTGGGGCCCTTTGGGGGGGGATGGTAGGTAATCGGGAAAGGAGGCCGAGCAGCAAGACAAGGCAAAGGACCAGCCTGTTCCAATCCTAATCCCAATTCAAATCCAATATAATCTTGTTCAATAAAGCAACCCAAGAAGAGAAAGTCGGACATGCCCATCCAGTCAATCAATCAATCAATCTACTAGCCAGTCTGCCCAGTCAGTGCCAGTTAATACCAACCAAGTGGGAATCGACCCCAATCGAAACCTGGTACCAAGCTGCAAGCTTGAAGCACCAACCTCTCTCTCTCTCTCTCTCTCTCTCTCTCTCTCTCTCTTCCATTTCCTCTCTTCCAGAACTCCTCCTCATACGAACATGGCATTCTGACCCATTGGCCACTGGATACCACGTTCAACACAGCCCTTTTCTTCTGCTGGGGTTTGTATGGCTTGACTACGAGTCCATGGCTGCATTGGGTTGCTGCCACCGAGCCTATAAACCCGCCAGACCAACCCAGAAAAGAAGCAGAAGAAGCAAAAGAAGAAGAAAAGGGCGCCATTGGCCGTTGGAAACCACCGAATACCTACCGTACCATTCCTTACCATGCTCCCGTACTTGTGCATAACTACGGGCCAGGGGCCAGGGGCCCAGGGGTTGCGAAAAGAAGCATAAGGCAAGGTAGTGCCTGGGTGCCTTGCTCGCCGCAATCACACACAGCGCCCACACATCCGAACTCCGTAGGTACCGTCCCACTACTTTTTGGGTACGGAGTACGGAGTACTGCGTAAGCTATGTACTATGTATTGTCGCTTCTCAGAGCCTCTGAGGTCATGATGTTTTCTTTCTCATGCTCGTCAGCCATGACCACAACGAAGTCTTACTTACCCGATGCAACTTCACCAATCCAACAAGCCATCAAATGCCTTGTCTTGCTCCCGCCTGTCTCTCCTCTCTCTCCAAGTCCCAAGTCTCACAGGACCAGCAGAAGAAAAGAAAGTCAACAGGGTCTCGTGCCGGTCCATGTCATGCCTTTCCCCTCCTTCTGCTGGTCCTGAGCCATCCGCTGCCCAAGGCACCGCGAGCTATGAGATCACAAATGGCTTCTCGAGTCCCTCTTCAAATTGAGACCTGCACCTCTCATCGGCATCTCCCTGCCAGTTCCTGAACCTGAACCTGAACCTGCAAGGCCCTCGTGGCCCTCTTGCTCGGCTGTAACCTGTATTCGTGGATAGGTAGGCCATTGATGATGTCGATGTTCATCTCTCAGATGCACATCCATAGTGCCTCGCTTGATTCGCCCACTGGCACATCACCGTCTTCGCCGTAGTCCAACTGTCGGCGCCAATCACCATCTTCTTGTCAGACACTAGCAAAGTGACCCGAGATGTGGCTTCTTTAGCCCAGAAACCTTCGCTGCCAGGCCAAATCGCCAGTCCGTCACAAATTTTCTCCATAGCACTGGCCACGCGACAAGGGGGGCATCTATGCAAGGGCCACGCCCAATCAGCTTCTCCCACAAACCACTCGACGACGAGGGGCACCCAAGGGAAGCATTGCTTGGTCCACCGTCCGATAGCTGAAAGGTCCCAGGCACACAGGCACGATAGGCTGAAGGGTCCCTGAGACGGGGAAGGCCAAGCCTCGACTCGAGGGCTGAATAACGGACGACTCCTCTTGAACCCCTGGATGCGCTGAAGCTTGCTGGGAATGGCCCAGGGACGGAAACATTGGCCGAGCTGTGAATCTGTGAGGCAGGCGGCGGCGGCGGCGGGAATGCGGGTAGGCGGGCATTGATTGTCACGGTCCCATCCAGCTGAACACTCTTAATATTGCCATGCCCACGAGGCCGAGCAGTATCAGGAGGTTGGCTCGCACTTTGTAGAATAAGAATCGACAGTCTTTGATAAACCCAGAGCTCCGTTCGTGCATCACAATCTGGTCTCTTAATCTTCAGCTGCTCCTGATTCCTGAGATAAATGATTAGTATGTCAAGTCCGTGTGATACTGTAAAGCAGTCCGCAAATATGAGCACAGTCTGTCGCCTAGCAAAACGTCGCATCGTCTTTGAACGTGCAGACTTCCTTGGGGTTTGATCCGGTCATATTCATGCTCATGCAGACGCAACAGCGGGCTGCCGTGCGGCCCCCGATGGCATTCTCTGACTCCGTTGGCCGACCAAAAGAAACGGACGATGTGTCACGTCGACGCCAGGCGGCCCAAATATCCATACATAATATGTTACCGTGGAAATGTGTTGACGACCAACGGGCAGCAACTGAAGTTAGAATGGGCGAGACTTGCTGCCCGAGAACCATTTCGCTTCCCGATGCTGATGCCCGCAGGCTGCGGCACATGCAGGATGGTTGCCGCTGGTATTGTCCGCTGCACGTGTGGCCTGGAAATATCCGAATACATCAATCCCAGTTCACGCTTCAAATGAGCCAGCATCGAATGCCGTCGATCGGCAGTTCTCGACTTAACGCTGTCATATCTCGCAACCGTCGCAATGGCGTCTTGTATTTTTCTGCAAGCAGCCAGTGGTCGAGAGCGTCTGTAATAGGTTTTCCTGACCATCCCTGACCATTCCTGACCATTTGACGAAAATGAATGGCATCGAGGACGCCGTTGACCCTGTCGGCCCTGACCGCGTGATGGCATCGCATTCAATACGTGGGTTTAATCACCAACGCCAGGTGCCCCAGCCTGGCTTGCCAAGGTGAGGTCATGGTGAAGGTGAGAAAAGAAAAAAAATGGACGGTAATGCTCGGCACTCGTGGTGAGAGCAGGTGACTGAAAGACAACTTGTCGAGGGTTCCAACTCTGCCACGCTTGTACGAGAAACGAGCCATGGCGAAGAAATCAATGGTACTGCCAGTCCAAAGTCGTTCGCAGAGACTGACTCCCTTTTAAGGAGGCAAAGTTGGCTCATTATTCGGTTGAATCTGCACCGCTTGCCATTCTCGCGAGTACCACTCGAACGCTAGGACATTGGCTCTGGCCACAATTTGATGATGCTAATCGCTTGAAAGCCTTATTTCACTTCTATTTTCATCAGCAAACACGGGCATGGGGGTGGAACGCCGCCTGCAGACAAAGAAGCGGCCCAGGTAGGATCAGAGTGGGTATCCGCCGGTGGTGGAGAGCCAGGACTGGCGTGAAGGTCCGAGACCGAAGCTGCGGTGAAACCCTCCAAACCGCCCGGAGAGGCCAGCTGTCCCGTAATCTAGGCCCGGTGCCTATGCTGGATCGCTAGCAAAGAGGTCCGGTGATTGTTTCGGATGCTGATCCGGTCTCACTACGGCAGTGACGGCGTGGCTCACCACCCTGGCTAGAGGGCTAAGCTGAGGCAGACAGTGGCGATCTCTCTCTCCTTCATGTTATCGCCGGCCGGCATCATGGAAGCAGCGGACTTTGGGACGGGCCCGGCGCACCGTGATGCCGTCGACTGTTGGGCTCCACTCCACGGACAGTGTGCAGACAAGGACGGCCGGGAGAGTTGGGGTGGTGGGTGGTTGAGACAGCGGGCCTATTGAGGCACACAGATTCCGCGTATTCGTGTTCGGTTTTGGATTCTCTACCAGTCCGATAGGTATCCCAGTTGACAGTAAAACGCCTCGCCGTTGATGATCATCATACCTACGCGAACACAATACGTCGACTCCCGAGATGAAGGCTTTGGACAAAACGTGTTCGAGAAGCATCGAGGTACGGCCCGCGTGGATCACCGCTGCGCCCTGGCGCCGCTCGGAGTGATCTGAGATTGTTAGGCCGAGTCGCCGTGTCATTAAGCAAAAGCTTGGGTCGTCGGAGGCTTCGGCCGAAACAAATGTGGCTGTCATTGATGAAGACGTGGCCTGAAATGGACTGCGTCAGTTCCTTGCGACGGAACCCGAGGCACCGGGCAGCCGCGGAATGGGCCAGCATTAAAGGCAACTCATGTATGTAGACTGATGGGAGAGGTCAACGGTGTAAGGACTGAGACAGGTGATGCAGAGTACTGTGTCGAGTACACTACAGATGCCAAGGAGCCGTCCGCATCCATACTTCATCCGTATGCAGTAGATCGTAGTACAGTAACGGCGTATTCGTAGTTTTGAACGCAGTAGATAACCACTTGGGTATCCTCGTGCCAGAACTGACCGCAGCACCTAGAGTAAAGTCGTTGCCTGTTGGAGTCGTTAACTGTTGGAGGCTTGGAGGACATGATACAACAACTGCCGTGGTGCCGTGGCGAGGCGGCATGAAGTGTGGGCTGGGCTCGTTATCGGTCTCGCGGGGTTTCCCTGCGCCAGCTTAGGCTTGTGGCAGTGACCATGTGGGCTACCGTCGTCTCTCGTGTGCCAACCCAATCGAATGGTGTAGAAGCGGAGAAAGAGAATGGGAGAACGGGACTGCTACTGCGGTGTCATCAACGATGAATGATTCAACGAACCACCCGAGTCAGACGCACCGTCCCCTTGTTGGCATACCGCAGGGTGGGATGTACTCCGTACGAGTAGGATAGTCCACTACCTACCTGGAGTGTTAGCGAGCTGTCCTGATTCCTGAATTCTTATTATGGACGTAGGAGCGGTCCGTCGACGCCTCATCAGACCACCTTTCAGAAGCTTGTAGTCTGTAGAGAACAGCGGTCTGTTCTTTACCATAGACGGTGTGAGAGTGTATGGTTGTGAGAGCTTACGGCCATGTGGTGTGGCTGGCAGCAAAAGAGAGTTGCTTGTTCGATGGTAAACTTCTGCCGGTTTCCAGTCTACGATTGCCGTACCATGCAAAAAAGACTGCCGTGACCGTCAATAAGGTGGAAGCAGTGAGTGGAAGGTAAATCATAAGGTTTCCGCGGTGGGACCCAGGCGTGGAGATATCTCGGCACCGACCCCTCGGGATCCGCTGGTCGAAGCTCCAAGTCCGTCTTCTCCATTCTGAGTGGTTTACTCCAAAATGACTAAGCATATAGCCGAGAAGACCGTGCGTCTGGCGTGTACGTATCGAATGTTTGGCGGGGGACGGTACATGGCAGCGGCAAGAACCTAACACCACGCAGAAGGTACGGGGTAGGTACTGTGTAGAGAGAACGGTGGAAGGTGCGAACTATTACCTGCCCAGGAATTGACCCGTGGTTTCCTCGTTCTCAGTCTTGGGGCGGACTACCAAGAATTATGGAAGAGGAAGGAAGAAAAGGCTGACAGTCCGCGCCGAAGCGGTGCGGTAGGGACACTCACTAGGTACCTTACCTTATGGAAGCTACCAAGGTACAGCAGTACGTAGAGGAATTTCCCTTGCACAGAGGACCATACGGGAGGAAATTGAGCAATGGCTTTCCGCTGCGCTGAGAGTGGGACAGAAAATGGAAGGAAGGCCAGCTCGCTTTCGACTCGGAACGGCCCTGCCAAATCCTGGAACCAGAGCTTGCCAAAACCGACCCGACTAGAAGGTGGAGAGCCCTTACTGCCGTAAGTTCCTTCCAGATTGCCTCGGGCTTTCCATGCTTCTCTCTCCAGGCTCTGAGGCGCGGAATGCATCCAAGTATCCGAACCTTTCCTTGCCTTCCTTACCCTGCCTTGCCTTGCCTTGCCTTGCCTCATTACGAATATTCGTACATGACATTATTACACAGTAACATTGTTCCCCAAGTTAAGGTACTCCATTAGGCGGTTGTTAGCAAGGAAGAAGACCAAGTCAGCCCAGCGCAGTGTCCACTAGCCATGACCATCCCCGAGCCATGCCGTTGAATGCAACATGCCCGCCGGTCCCTTATCGCACTTCCGATCCAAAGTTCCGTCCGTTTCCTCGTGTGCTCCATGCGGCCTACCCGCCCCGGCCTGCTTGCTTGTCCCAGTGTCCTCATCAACTCCCGTCGAACGAGACGAGAGACTTCTGCAGCGCACCAACAAACCCCGTCGTCTCTTTTTACTTTCTCTTGACCTTGCCCTCTCCGACCCTTACTCTTACTCTTATTCTCACTCCCTCCTTCTAAGCCCTTCTTCTCAAATTCCTCCAGCCTCCGCCGTTCCTATTTCTTCCCGCTGACTGTTCGTCCCGAATCCGCTTACTATTCACTATCCTTTCTCTTTCCTCTACTCCGTACCGCAGTCGACACAATACTCCCCGACACTCTCACACCTCACTTATTCTTCCTCCCGCGCTCTCCCACCATTCAGTCTTCCCAAGCTCAACTTTGCCTGTGTGCTTCCGCCCGTGCCTTTCCCAACTGGGGGGTCTCGGCGTCCTTTGCACAGACCGGTAAGCCCAAGTATTCTTCTCCTTTGCCCGTGGACCCTAAACCCCCGTCACCCCATCCCAGTGCTTTGGTCTACCTACCTAGGTGTCAGCCTTTGGTCCCACGCTGTACTACGTACACTACACTACCAAAACGGTTGCGCTGCGACTGGATACGACATACTGTGTATAAGTAGTGTACAGTGCAAGGTCAAGTCAGGCCGTCATTGGCGGCGCCGGAACTGCTGGCACTGGTGCGTGTCCGAAACTCGGCATCACACTGTTTCCACTCTCCCCGACCGACGGGCTAAATCCTGGGTCTGACGGTCTGACCAGACTTCCCTTCTGGTTTTACCCACATCTTCCTCCTCCTCCTCCTCCACCACCGCAATCCACCATCTCTTCCTCCCGGCCAATTGTCGAATCACCCCCGCTGATCTCATGTGAACACGATTGCAGTATTCCGCTCCGTACCTTACCTCACCTTACCTCACGAGGCTTGAATTTCTCCAACTTCCTCCAACAACCGCCACTTCCCGCGGCTGTTAGATCCCCCCCTAAATAGTCGCCTATTCACGGCTGTCAACTCGGCAATCCCACTCGCATTTCTGGGTCGGTGATTCTTCATCTTCATCGCTCGCTTGCGACTTTTTTTTACCTCCTTGCAGCAACCCCGCCAAACCTCCCTACTGCAACACAAACACCTCTCGCTGTCGCGCATCACCTCGGAATTGTCAGTGCTTCCGAGCCGCAACCCTTCCGAGCAGTCCAGTTGAGTCCGACGGCCCAACATGGCGGAACTCGACACGCTGGACATCGTCGTCCTGGCCGTCATCCTCTTGGGTACGGCCGCCTACTTCACAAAGGGCAAATACTGGGGAGTAGTCAAGGACCCCTATGCCAACGCCTTTGCCAACGCCAATGGCGCCAAGGCCGGCAAGACAAGAAACATCATCGAGAAGATGGATGAGTCGGGAAAGAACTGCATCGTCTTCTATGGATCCCAGACTGGTACCGCCGAGGACTACGCCTCGAGACTCGCAAAGGAAGGCAAGAGCCGCTTCGGTCTCGAGACCATGGTCGCCGACTTGGAGGACTACGACTACGATAACCTCGATTCCATCCCTAGCGACAAGGTCGTCATGTTCGTTCTCGCTACCTACGGTGAGGGCGAGCCCACCGATAACGCCGTCGATTTCTACGAATTTATCACCGGCGAGGACGTCTCCTTCTCCGAGGGCAACGACCCCGCCTTGGACAACCTCAACTTTGTCGCCTTCGGTCTCGGTAACAACACCTACGAGCACTACAATTCCATGGTTCGCAACGTCACAAAGGCTCTCGTGAAGCTCGGCGCACACAAGATCGGCGAGGCTGGCGAGGGTGACGATGGCGCCGGTACCATGGAAGAGGATTTCCTGGCCTGGAAGGACCCCATGTGGGCTGCTCTCGCCGAGAAGATGGGTCTGGAGGAGCGCGAGGCTGTCTACGAGCCCACCTTCAGCATTCTCGAACGCGAGGGTCTCGACGCTTCGTCCGCCGAGGTCTACGTCGGAGAGCCGAACAAGATGCATCTTGAGGGTACCGCCAAGGGTCCCTTCAACGCCCACAACCCCTACATCGCCCCCATTGCCGAGTCCAAGGAGCTCTTCAGCGTCAAGGACAGAAACTGCCTGCACCTCGAAGTCGACATCAGCGGATCCAACTTGTCCTACCAGACCGGCGACCACATTGCCATCTGGCCCACGAACCCCGGTGAAGAGGTTGACCGCTTCCTTGACCTTGTCGGACTTACTGAGCAGAGACACTCGGTCGTCAGCGTCAAGGCCCTCGAGCCTACCGCCAAGGTCCCCTTCCCCACGCCCACCACCTACGATGCCATTGTTCGCTACCACCTCGAGATCTGCGCCCCCGTTTCCCGCCAGTTCATTTCCACCCTCGCCGCCTTCGCTCCCAGCGAAGACATCAAGGCCGAGATGGTCAAGCTCGGAGGCGACAAGGAGCTCTTCCACGAGAAGACTGGTGCTCACTTCTACAACATTGTTCGGTTCTTGGACTCTGTCAGCGGCGGTCAAAAGTGGACCAACATCCCCTTCTCCGCGTGGATTGAAGGCCTCACCAAGCTCCAGCCCCGTTACTACTCCATTTCCTCCTCGTCCCTGGTCCAGCCCAAGAAGATCTCCATTACCGCCGTGGTCGAGAACCAGACGATCCCTGGCCGCGGCGATCCGTTCCGTGGTGTCGCTACGAACTATCTCCTCGCTCTGAAGCAGAAGCAGAACAACGACCCCGAGCCTACCGCCTTTGGACTGACCTACGAGATTACTGGCCCCAGAAACAAGTACGACGGTATCCACGTGCCCGTCCACGTCCGCCATTCCAACTTCAAGCTGCCTTCCGATCCCTCCAAGCCCGTCATCTGCATTGGTCCCGGTACCGGTGCTGCCCCCTTCCGCGGTTTCATTCAGGAGAGAGCCAAGTTGGCTCGCGATGGCGCCGATGTTGGTCAGACGATTCTCTTCTTCGGATGCCGCAAGTCGACCGAGGACTTTTTGTACAAGGATGAGTGGGAGGTAAGCAAACTTCACAAGCAAGCTTTTGCACTTTCCATGACGCGAGGCTAACCATTGTAATAGCAATACAAGAAGGATCTCGGCGACAAGTTCGAGCTCATCACCGCTTTCTCCCGCGAGGGCCCCAAGAAGGTTTACGTTCAGCACCGTCTCAAGGAGCGCTCCAAGGAGATCAACGAGCTTCTCGAGAAGAAGGCCTACTTCTACGTCTGTGGTGACGCCGCCAACATGGCTCGTGAGGTCAACACCGTTCTGGGCCAGATTCTGGCGGAGCAGCGTGGCATCTCTGAGGCCAAGGCCGAGGAGATTGTCAAGAACATGAGAGCAGCCAACCAATACCAGGTACGCCGGATTCTATATTCTCACAACAGCTTCGTGACCAATGCTAACAAATACCTCAGGAGGATGTCTGGTCATAGAGTCGGTCTGTGTTATGCGACACGGAGTATGGGATCTAGACGGAAAACGGAGAAGGCATCTACGCCCTCTTATAGAGGCGCGAAACTTTGTGCGTGCGTGGGATGTGTGTGTATAGATGTGCGCACGTCTTCTATATCAGCATAGGGCGGCGTATGTTGTGCATATTGGATCGGGATGACCGGAGTAATGTCTCGGGGAAACCCACACCTACCTAAACCCATCCCACCGACCTCTTTGCAGGCAGATCGCGCAGACGGGGTTCTTCTTTGAAACTATTCTACATTAAAGCAACGTTGGGCAGGCAGGCATGATGACGAGCGGACAAGAGGATTGGCTTGGTTGCTTGACTTGGGTTTTCAACTTGGCATATAACTTGTCTATTTTCTTGTTCCTATGCCGTTATCCTCTCGTCGTGTATGCCGTTGGACTGTCAGTTGGTCTTTTATTCTTTTGGAGTTTGTACTGCAGATAATGATTCGTTCAGAGTATAGACAGTTCATCTTCCAAAGTTCTCATGATGTGCCAAATGTGATGTACCATGAGCCCAGACACCCAAGTCTTTATATTGAAAAGCATTGTGGTATTTTGGGAATGACTACCGGGATCCAACCAGGTCGGGCCAAACTCAACCGAGGCCATCCGGTGCGGCCATCTGTGACGAGATGCTGGTGACACGGGTAGTAGCAGCAATTTTACCGTCGCCATGGCGTGATTTGCCTTTGTGTTGGTTGCTCTCTTCCCCTTCCTAATCGAGCAGGGAAATATATCATCCTCTTCTTGACGCAAACTTGGGACCCCGTCACTTTTGGTCAGTAATCAATAATTGAATCGGAAAAGCTGGACAGATCGGGGAACACCAAGCCGCCGTCCTCCCGTGCCGCCGTGCGGCAGAGAATCAAATAATCCTTACCTCGCAATCAGTCAGCATATCCAAC